GCCAAAGGTGGGGGGGGGGGGTCCTGTGCTGAAAAACAAGTGAGAAAGGGGCTCCCCGGAGGGGATTGGTTCAGGATGGAAGGCAGCAACATTCGGAAAGCGTGAGGATCCAGCCGCAGCGGTGGCCCGCGCTGCGAGCCCAGGACGCTTCAGCGGCGATCAGCCCGGGCTGCAGGCGCCGGCGGCGGCGAGGACGCGACCCGGCAGCCCCCGAGCTCCGCGTACAGGCATCGCGCTCTCTTCTCGCTGCCCTGCTCTCCCCCCTCTCGGCCCCTTCCCTCCTCCCTCTCCCTGGCGTTCCCAGCAGCCGAGGGTTTCAGATGTCCCACCGCCGTTTGACCCCCTCCCCCCGCTTCTCCACCCCTGCAAATGAGGTTTGACCAGCAGAGGAAGAGCCCACCTCTGGCTTAGAATCACTGACATTTAGACTCTAGGCTTCAACCTGTTTACAAGCAGGCTTTCCAAAGGAAGGGGGTGGGGGAGAGGGCCAAACACCACACCAGCCGCCATCCCCCCCCCCCGCCCCAAACAAGAAGTGACTTTCTGAGGCTTCAAATCAACAGGCACCACCAAAAAGAGAAAGGAAGAGGCAGAAGAAAACAACGGCGACCGGGCAGCTGCCTTCAGTTCTGACAACTGCAAAGGGACACACTTTGAGAAGTGACTAGCGCCTGGGTCTCTGCAGAGAGGGACCAGAAGGTGCCAACTGCAGAGGGGCGCAGATAGCTCCCCCCACCCCCCACCCCACCCCCTTTGGGTTTTCTTCACCGCGCTGTCATCTGTTTTTCAGACCTTTTTTGCATCTAACATGGTGAAGAAGAGAACAAAGTAACTCCTGGGGGAGCAGAGAGCGCTGGTGCCCAACACCGCCACAGCCGCCACCAGCTCCTGCTGCCGCGGCCACCCTCGTGCGCTGTTCACCGGGAGACTCGAGAGGCGCAGGCGGCGGATCCGGGAGAGCAGCGAGGAGAGGCAGCCGGCCCTTCCGAGGAGTTATGGATGTTGGCGCATTCACTTCTGCCCAGATCCGCGCCCAGAGGGAGCTAACCAGCAGCCGCCACCTCCAGCTGTCTCCTCGCCTTGCACCAGGTCTTACCCTTCCAGTATGTTCCTTCTGATGAGACAATTTCCAGCGCCGAGAGTATCAGTACAATGTGGAAATGGATACTGACACATTGTGCCTCAGCCTTTCCCCACCTGCCCGGCTGCTGCTGCTGCTTCTTGTTGCTGTTCTTGGTGTCTTCCGTCCCTGCCACCTGCCAAGCCCTTGGTCAGGGCATGGTGTCACCAGAGGCCACCAATTCTTCCTCCTCCTTCTCCTCTCCTTCCAGTGCGGGGAGGCATGTGCGGAGCTACAATCACCTCCAAGGAGATGTCCGCTGGAGAAAGCTGTTCTCTTTCACCAAGTACTTTCTCAAGATTGAGAAGAACGGGAAGGTCAGCGGTACCAAGAAGGAGAACTGCCCGTACAGTAAGTAACAAACGCGGGCTCCCCTCCTTCCAATTATCCGCCCCCACCCCACCCGGGGGGGAAATCTGTTCCAGATGTGGCCGGCTAAATATTTACGTCCCCAACCCCTGTAAAATGATGAAGTGGGATACTTTCACACTAAGTCACCCCCCGCCCCCCGTGTATACATTGTGCTGCCGCATCCCCTCCCCTCCGCGCCCCCTCCACACCCCCGCCACTTGTCACCCCATCTGCCCCTTCCTCTAGCTTGTCACTCGCCGGACTACGCAAGGCGCCCGAGAGCTGTCGCAGTGCATCGATGCCCCTATCGGTCTCCACCGCCCTTCCCCACCTCATCCGCAGGTCTCCTTTCCCTCCCTTCTGGAAATGGTTCACGTAAACAACATTCGTTGCTTTTCGCTGGAGATCTTGTTAAAAGTTTTGAGACAGGCTGCTCAAGCTGAAAATAATTATCCGCTTTCTATTATAGGGGCTTTATGGGAACTTGATTGAAAAAGAAACGTCAATTGCATTCGCTCCCCACCTCCGTCTCTTTACCCCACCACCTCTAGATAGGAGCAAAAAGTATCTTTCTGATTTTGATTTTTTTTTTTTTTCCTGGTCCCTCACGTTGGTTTGAGTGATTGCAGTCCATGAAGTTAGCTTTGCAGGCACCACCGCTGCTATTTGTCTTCTGCCTGCCTTCTCTCTGGGTAACATGATGCTCATGTCTGCCTTGTCAATAGCATATGTGCTGCTTTGTGGTGTCCTGTGGTACTGTTTCTTCTGAAACCTCTCATATTGCAGAGCCATACTACTAAAGCATTGTAAACATATGGGACTGGATTCACACAGACCTCACACAAATTTCATTGTCATTCTTTTATTTTCAAAGTAAAAGTCATAAGTGTGTTTCCATGGCTATGGTTTATCCCATAGTGTGAGGTTTTCTCCTCAGTACAAATTATGCCCAAGATCCCTGGATTTCTTTCTTTCCTCTTTCCTTTCTCTCCCTCTTTCTTTTCTTTTTCTCTTGCAGGAGTACGGGCTGGATAGGGGAAGGGAGAACGAGGAGAGAAGGGGTGGATATTGTGTCTTTTCTTGAATCAATCCTGCAAAGCCAGATTACTGTGTTGGCTTCCTTTGCTAGTTACTTTCAAGTGGTGAGACTTACTCATCCCCTACTGATTGTTATTTGACAGGATCCCAAGGCTGTGTAATGGCACATTGAAGACAGTAGACAATGACATTTAAACATCTTTAATGCCTATTTAGCATTATCTCAAAGGTAGAATCCAAGTCACCTTTTAAGGGGACTTTTTTGTGTTAGTTGTTTGGGAATGCGAAGTATATATTTGTTAGCTAACTTAAGTACATGGGTCGCACAGGTCAAGATTCCTTGGCCCAGAAGGTACCAGGTACTAATGAGAATGACAATTGACCAGAATTTAGCATTTTATTTATGAATAAAGACTTACAAAAATTAAGACTTAGTTTTCTTTTTTGGGAATTCATGCACATTCAACATTAACTTCTGTTCCTCCTCCACAGCTATTGCTTCTATTTATTAAAATCAGCAATATGTTTACAAATAATAAAAATATTTGTGGAAGTATTTTAATGTATTCCATTCTATGTTTAGTGATAAAGATATTCACTACCTATTTTTTTCCATTCTGATTTATTAGGAAGTGGCTGAAATAATGTCATTAATGATAATGATTATTTTTGCTTGAAAGTCATTTGTTATCTGAGTACAGCCTTTATGGTTGTTGATTTAAAATGTAATACCTTTATTTACTTCTAAAACAAAATAGATGTAGTGTCATCCAGTTAGAAGGGTGGGGAAGAAGCTGTCCAAACACTGAGCTGAAAAGAGTGAGTTGGAAATTTAAAAAGAGAAAAAAATTCCCATGTACTGAATTTCTTTGCATTTTTAGTTCATGGAGAAAGCTCAAAGGAATTTAACAAAATTTCAGAGTGTTAACCTTGAGCAATTTTTTTAAATTTTTGACACTAACTTGATATTTCTACTGTTATATTTTAAGTGTTTTTAAGATGTGACACAAGGACCAATCTGCACTATTTTCACTTATGCAACTTAAATTACTATTTTCTAAAATTATGATCACTGTGTGATTAACTATTTAGTAAAATAATTTTCAGGGTACAAATTGAATTTTTTGTTTACAATAAGAACTATCTACAAAGAGAAAGTATGCAATTTTTATTGTATAAAACGGGTGTGGAAAATATCCATCCTAATTATCCAAAATATGCTAATATCTCTTCCATGTGATAAAGTATACTAACAGTCCTTGTTAAAATTATGAGCTAAATATCTTATGATAGTAATGCAATCTTAATCAATAGTTAAAAATGAAAAGAGGAAAGACTTATTCTGCTCAATATCGTCAAACCATAAATAATTTAGGCTTTCCAAGAGCATCTGTATCAAAACATAGCAAGTGGAAAGCAGAGGTTGAAAAAGACTGAATTTCACATGTGGCCCAGTAATCAGAATGCTGCTTCAATTTCCAGCTGGACTGATTCAGCTGAACTACATGGTATCATTAAGATATTGTCTAAATGTTGCATAATTACATGTGAGCAAACTTTTGCCATGCCTACGGGTAACCAGCCAGCCCAACAAATCGTAGCCTGTTAAATATTAGGATATCTAACCTCTGAAGAGTGTCAGTTCCTTGTCCAAAAACCACATTTCAGTAACATTTTCCTAAACAAGTTATTAATTATTCTCAAGACACAAAGCTGTTCTTTTGAGGTTTGCTTATTTGAAGATTAATTTTCCTTGTTACTTTTGACCCTAGTATTATTGCTGCTAAAATATAGTAACAGCTTATCTAAGAGGTTGTATGTTTGTGATGTCCTGGATAATTAAACAACTGTTCTACTGGCTTTTTGCCAGCTAATAAAAGGGAAGTAAGGAAGTCACCCATAAGTATTGCAAAATCATTTCTAACTTCTATCTCCAAAGCCAGTTCCCAGAAATTGAATGGTTCTAAAAATACTACATGTGTTAAAGAAACTGTTCTCAATTTGGGTGGTTATTATAATTTCTTTTTCTAGAGGGATGGTGTATTTCTTTGTTTGCTTCTTTGTCATTATATGAGAGTAGAATAAAGAGAGGAGAGATGAATTATATTTCTCCTGCTAGAAGTCTGAGAAAGCTTGAATAATTTACAATAGCTGTGGTGTATCTGTCATTAGATATGTGCAGGCTCATTTAGGTTTTGTTTTATCATTCTTTACATCTAGAGCTTTGCCCTTGAAACATTACCACTCGGCTCCAGTTCTGGCCTCCTAGAAAAGCTGGATACAGCTGTTAGGTACCCTTGCAACTGGGACTGGTTGACTTATTTCTGAACGTGAGTAAAACAGCTATGGGCTTCTCCCATGGTTGTCATTTGTAGAAGAGAGGAATCTAGTGAAAAGAAAATATATCCCTAAACTTGAGACAACTAAGGATGGATAATCCCAAAACAGAAAGCCACAGAGCCATGGGCCTTTCTGGAAAAGGAGTATGGGAGACAATAGAGAAATCAATGTGTACAAGTATGTGGTAAATGCCATATCTCTTTAAATACATATCTCATTTAATACTCACAATAGTCCCATGACTTAGATATAACAATTCACATCTTTCAGACTTGAAAACTAATACTGAAGAAAGTAAATTTTCCAAGGTCATTCAACTAGAAATTGGCAGAACCAGGATTTAAGCTTAAGCCTACTTGGTTTAAGCCTACTATAAGGTTACTACCTTATTTACCTCTTTGCTACTTCCAACATTGATACAGATTTATTAGAATTAGACACTCCAAATCTCTAAAAAACAAATTATCCAAGATATTACTGCCTTCTCACTGTGAACATCAACAGTTCTCTTTTTTTCTTTTTTTTTTTTTTTAAATTGAAACAGAATTGATTATACATATGTGTGGGGTACAGAGTTGACTATGAATGCTTGTGTACAATATGTGATAATTGAATAAGGATAATTAGCATATTCACTTTTACAAAATGGGGTCATTCTTTATGTCCCTTAATCAATTTCTTGCTTACTCCCCTCCCCCTTTTCCAGCTCTAGTAATCACAGTTCTGTTTTCTCCTTTTGAAAGTTCAATATATTATTGTGATCTTTCTTTCTTTCTTTTCTTTCTTTCTTCTTTCTTTCTTCTTTCTTTCTTTCTTTCTTTCTTTCTTTCTTTCTTTCTTTCTTTCTTTCTTTCTTTCTTTCTTTTTTTTTTTTTAGCTCCTACTTATGAGTGAGGACATGTGGTATTTCTCTTTCTGTGCCTCACTTATTTCACTTAACATAATCTTCTCCAAGCTCATCCAAATTGCTGAGAATGGCAAAATTTCATTATTTTTCATGGCAGAGTAGTATTCCATTGTGCATATGTACCACATTTTTCTTATGTATTTGTCTGTCAATGGACATTTAGGCTGATTTAGGCTGATTTTATTGTAAATAGAGCTGCTATAAACATGGGAATGCAGGTATCCCTTTGACATGATGGCTTCCATCCTTTTGTGTATAAAAACAGTAGTGGGCTTGCTGGATTGTATGGTAGTTCTCTCTGTAATTGAGAAACCTCTGTACTAATTTATAGTCCCACCAACAGTGTAGAAGAGTTCCCCTTTCTCTACATTCTTGCCAGCATTTGTTATTCTCTGTCTTTTTGATAATAGTCAATCTAACTGGGGTAAGGTGATAGCTCACTGTGGTTTTGATTTGCACTTCCCTGATGATCAGTGCTGTTGAGCATTTTTTCATGTGACTGTTGGCCATTTGTATGTCTTCCTTTGAGAAATGTCTATTCAGGTCCTTTGCCCATTTTTTAATCAGGTTTTTTTTTTTTTTTTTTTACTGTTAAGTTGTTTGAATTCCTCGTATGTTCTGGATATTAATCCCTTGTTGGATGTATAGTTTGCAAATATTTACTCCCATTCTGTAGGTTGTCTTTTCACTCCATTGATTGTTTTCTTTGCTATGC